CTACCTCCTCAAACCTTCTACCAGCCCAGACTTTTCTACCTGAGAGACAAATGAAATTCTGTAATCCACGGGAATTGGGCTTTTGTTAAAGTGGTCAAATCGATATCCCAATTAATACAGTGACCTCGACTCCCAGAGGCTGAATAAGCCAAAGGAATGACTGGAGTAGGAGCTTTATCAGCATTCTTGAAATCCTAACCAGGGGCCATCTTCTGAGCTGCAGATCCTGTATATTTATAGCTAGACCCCAGTTCCCTCTGATATCCCAAAGCATCTCTCAATTCATTTAACTTGTTGGGACGTACTACACTTCAACTGTGTGGTACGTGTCTACTGCAGCATCTATACCAGCAGCCGACGACATCCTATTCTTCAGCCCAAGGGTCTACTTCGTAGTTTACTTAAATCTAGGTGGATTGCATGGTTATCTCCATTTACGGATGAGGCATAAAAGCCCATTGGAGTCTTTCCAGAGAGCCCGGGGCTAATAGAAACAGCTTCTCAGATTTCCATGTTTGGGGTCTTGACACTTCCTCAAAGGAAGAATAGTTCTCTCTCCTGGGAGACTGGGGTCCTCTGGTACCAAACAGGATACACTGTCAGGAAACCTTTTCTCTTTCTTAACCCATTTCTCTCTTAGAAAAATAAAGTGCAGCTCACTGCCAGTGTTAATTTTATATAAACGTGCTCTTTGAGGCTAAATCAAATCTGACTCGTTTTCAATGTGAAAATAAAATATAAAAGCTATTCTCGTTGTTATTTCTAAACATAATCTGTCCCTAATCCTAATGTCACAGAAATGCATACATAAATCAGATTCACCAAATGAATCTTCGGCTAACTACTGTTTGAGAACAATGTTAACATCACTTGTAGGAATGCTACGTTTTCTAGGATTTGACACTTTCAGTGATCAAGAATTACTATATTTTGTAAATGGAAATTCCACTAGCAAAAACAGAATGTTATAAATAGAATGATGTTCATTTGTTTGTAAAGACTGTTAATATACTAGAGTGATGTGAAAATAATAATCAAAGAGAGATATTTTGTGGCAAACTTTGGGGGTAAGGTTAGGACTGTAACCCATGAGTTATCTCGCGTTTAACCCATGAGTAAACGCTGCAGTTGCAAGAGCCCCTGGCGAGTATTCTCAGGGCAAACGGGAAATGGGTTAAAGTAGTTGTAAAAAAGAAAATTAAACCACAGAAATGTAAACACTAAAGAAGGAAGTTGTACAAAGTCAATATCGTACAGGTAAGAGAATGTTTAGGGATTATCAGTATTTGGAAGTCAGTGGTTACAGGTTTGGAGTTCTTGTGAGTGTTCAACCACTGAGAAACTTTCAAAACGCCAGATAAAAATACACATTAAAAAAGTTAATAAGAAACCCTCATTTCTGATAACATCTCAGCTTAGTGAACCAAATAGCAGAGAGCGAGCCTCTTGCACCACACTGGACTCGCTTCTTGGAAATTTGTAAACAGAGCTTGACTAATGCCTACTGGACGCGGTGCCCACTCTGTATTTAGACAACTGGCTGGTGTGGGAAAGACCCAAACGTCTGGTTCTTACGTCAATGTCTTTGGCCCTGGAAATCAGCAGAAAAGGGAGGCAAAGAGAATAAAGGTGACCCGGACAGGAGTGGTGAGGCAGGACTGTCGAGGGAGAGATGAAAGTCACCAGATTAAGGGAAAACTTTCACTGTCTGAAGAATCACCAGTTTCCTTTGCCTTGAATTGAGGCAATGATGGAGAAATCAAAAGCCTTTTAGTATGAAGACTCAGATTCAAGTTTTAACTCAGCCCTGGACCTCTCTGACTTCTCCTCAGTAAGATACGTAAATAATGAATGGATGCTGTACTGATCTCAGGGGGTTGAAGTGAAGAGGCAATACGATATCTGAAAAATATTTCAAATGCTTTCAAGTGCCACACAGGTGATATTTATCATGAGAAAAGATGCTGAGATGGAGTGCATGTTCTCACAGTTCTTTCATTTATATGTACAAACTAGACTAAGCAAAATGAAATCTTTTGGTTCAGATGATGGGGGACAATAGTTACCAGAGCTAATTGCAAATACCCCATTTTTCTTCCTTCTTGGCACATGGTAGGATTGGTGTTCTCTGCCCTCTTAGGTGTGACCATGTGACTTATCTGTCATTTCTGGGCGAAACTTTAAGAGCAAGGGCGCATCTGCCATATTCCCTCATCTTGTCTGGATGCTTGTGGAGGCCTATGTTGAGACTGAGTTTCCATCATCCTGGGCCCCTTAGTGAACTGTGGTAAGCAGAGCACTCGCCCCCACCCCCAACCTTCATTGGCCATGTAGGAAAAATGAACTTTTGTTGTCTTAAAAGCCACTGCACCCCTGGGATTGTTCATTGCTGCAGCACAAGCTTGTGTTGACTATATTTTCTGTATCTTTGATGCTCTGGCATTTGGGATCATGATCCTGCAGAGACTGCCCCACCTGGGACCAGCTCATTCTTAGTTAGAGCAAACAACTCCCCAGAGAGCGCGCCTTTGAATTGCAAACCAATCAATCTCCAGCCACTCCCCCAACTATGTCTTTTATCAAACACTCGCAGACCAAGCCAATGCTCCCCCTGCTCTGGATCACCCTAGGAGCAGGTATTGAACAACGAGGGACCCTCCTGTAGCCCAGAGCCTGCCAAAATTATTCAAACAAGCCAATTCTAAGCTTACCCAACATACCTACATTGCCTTGCCCATTTCCTCCTGTGAAAACCCCAATAGATGCTCTGGGCCTGCTGTCCCCTTGTCTTCTATGCCTCCTGGCCCACCCAGTCCTTCCCTATGTGGCCCTTTGTGACACACCAGGCCTGTTTCTAGGAATCCATGATTATAAACTTCTTTCACATGCAAATCATCTCTGCGTCTCTGTGTCTTACCATTTCTGATTAAAACAAATCCGGGATACATTTTAAACACAAACCTGGTCTATCCTGATGGATACCCTAGGAAGATTGGGCCTGGCATCAGGTACACTGGACTTTCTCATTCTCTTCCCAGTCTCTGAGTTCCGTTTTCCTCTGGGCTAGCCTCTCCTGCAGCTGGGCTTTCGCTGTGTGGCGGAAAGAGAGACCCAAGCATCCTGGCTTCACTACCAGAGCCCAGAGGCAGGAGCTGGTCTTTGCTGCTGATTCCAGCAGAAAATGTTGTAGGAAAATACTCAGATTGGCTCAGTTTGACTCATGTACAATCACAGGACAACCTCTGTGGGACATACGTACCCATCAGGATTGAGCCATATGCTCACCCCTGTGGCTGGGCAGGTGGAAAATGCTGGGCAGCCAGGAGCACAGGTGCCACTGAGATCCAGCATCGTCCTTTTATGGATGGAGCTGGGACACCCAAACACATGCACCATGAGGAAAGGACGGTGTGCAGAGGGCTGCTCTCTACACGAAGTACTACTGGGAAACTCTATAAGAACTGAATGAAAGAACTCGCCTTGCGATTAATAGCTGTCAGCTACATTTTTCTGAGGTAGCATCAGGCCAACCAGAAATATGGTATCTACAATCCGTCCTCCCTAAAAGTGGGAAACAAACCCCTTATATGAGCATGCGAGGTGAAGGGCAGCAAACATTTTAGTGAACTTCCGTTACTGAATACTCTGTCATGTACCCAGATGGTTCTGTTCAGGTGGATCTGGCTAAAGGAACATCCACCTGTCCAGACACACATGCTAGGCTCCCTGCTTGAAGTTAGTTCTTTATGGAGGCCCATGGAGGCCCAGATGATGGGATTTGAAGGTCCCTGTGGGTCGTAGAGAGCGAAGAAAAACAGAAGGGGATGAATTCACGACAAGGCTCTCAACCTGGAAGAGTAGGTCTCCTTCCGGGGTCCATGAACTCGTCACTGAATGTAAAAAACCTAATGTTTATTTCCTACAAAAAGGGTCTGGAGCTCTCACCAGATTCTCAACAGGTACAGCTGCAAAAGGGTGACAAACTGCTACTGTAAGAGAAGGTAGCTCAGCTTCCAGGAGCTGGCAGAGGAACTTGGGGTTTTTTTCTTGACTTTCCTGGTGTCTCACCAGGTGGGCAGATTTCTCATTTCCTTCAGTTCCAGTATTTTCCAAATGGAGCTCACATAACAGAACTCCACCTCCCTTGAAAAGTCTTTGTGGCAGAGAAAGCTAGAGCAATCTGGGCCCAAGTCCCAATGAGGCCATTTACCAGCAGGTGACTTAACCTCAATGAGCTGATTTCCTCATAGACAAAGGGAGGATAATAGCATTGTCACACCAAGATTTCACCTAGTGTAACACTGTTATAGTAGGTGAAACAATGAATGTAGAGAGCTTTCCGCTTTCCTTCCCATTAATATTCAAAGCTAGCATTACCCAGCCCTTCATATTTGCCGTAAGAGTGTTAAGTGCTTTTAGGTACATTGTGTCATTTAATCTTTGCAAAAGCCCTACAGAATAGATATTATCGCCATTTAATTTTTTAAAATGGGGACGGGAGAATTGAGGCTGAGGTCAAGAACCTTATCACGGAGTAGAGCTGGCTTCCAAACCCGGCCGCCTGACCCAAGCCCGTACTCTTAACCCGGGGTTCTCCGCCATCTGTTCCCCCACTGACCCGCACACACTACCTGCGAAGGCGCCAAAACAAAGCGCTCAGAGAGCAGGCTGCGGGCTGTTGCTGCTGCGGTGATCTGGGTAACGCAGGGTCGGGGGGAAGCCTCAAACACCAAGGCCCTGTGATGTCAGGCACATGACAGAGATGATCTACTTTGTTAGACTCTAAAGAGTGCTTTCATCATAGCTCTTGTGACAAGCTGTCAATCTTGCTTTCTTTTGGGCTATATGACAAACACGTGGAAGGTGGTAAGGACCATGTGCCTGGTTTCAGGTCACACTATGGTCATGGGCTTAGCTGGGAATTAGGAAACTGGGATCATCTTTCCAAACGATGGGCAGCACTTAAGGACAAGAAGCTTTGAGAAGTGTGACCAGAATCATGAAGTTTTCAGAACTGTCATTTATTTCCAATCACTCCCACTTCTTCACCCTGGAGTGGCTGCTTTATGTCAAGGAAGGGGACCCCGGCTTCATGGAGAAGGGAATTAGCCCCCATTTCAGACTTCCTATGCTGAAAGGAGGCCCAGGAGGCGGAGGGCGCTGGGAAAGGCTCTGGACTCAGGGCAAGAGGCCACACTGCAGTGGCCCTGTTCTGCGGGACCTACCTGGCTTCTGTGACTGGCATCAGCCACCAGATTCTCTCCACATGTTCCAGGTTTGGAAATGAGTTAATCAGAACTAATGCTGGAAAGGAACTTATTAGACAAGTTCTACAGTTTGGGCCTGAATTTTCCAATCAGCGATGCAGAGGCAGCTGAAGCAAATGCCCCTCCACACTGTCACAGCAGTAATTAAGTTGCACACAGGAGCCTTTCAAAGATAGATGCTTCTCCTCCGTTCACCAGCTTTGGAAAGAGAAAATGAGAACAGCGTGGGGGCATGGCTGCTTCTTCCCAATCCAACTGTGCCTTCTGGATGGCAGTCCTCCCTCTGTCCCCGCCATCCCACTGCCTGCTGTCAGTGCAGCTGTTGAGACAGAGTGGCCCACCGGGTGCTGGGAGGCGCTCCACCACTGACGAGCAGACGGAGTGTGGCAGTGGGGCCGGCAGCTGGCTGGGCTCATTTGTTGGCCACGGCAGAAAGCTGGTCCCGGATGCGGCCCAGCCCATCCAACATAGTGTCCAGAGTTTCCTTACTCAGTTCCACAGTGACAGCTGAGACAGAGGGTTTGTCCCCACATAGACTGGGGTCTTCCTGGATCTGAAAAGAGAACATGGCCCCAAAATCAAAGTTCCGTCTCTTCCTAGAACCCTGGACCCATGAGCCCTACCCCATTCTGGGGAACTTCTGAAGAGAGGCTCTCTGCTCAGAGCTACAGACAATCTTAGCTTTGGAGACATTTGGCAAGAGGGTGAGGGAAGGGGACGTCTCAGAGGCTGGGGCCAGTTTCCATTTGCAAGGAGCGCTTAGGGCAGGAGTTAGAGAAGCCAAGGTTCACTCACACCTCCGACTCAACACTTTAGTGAGAAAACATTACATGGGTTTATATTGGTAATTTATGCACTAGGCTCTAGGGGTACTTAAGAATCCATTGGGATGCAGGAAAAATATTATATTGTCTATTTATATTTGTATCTTTTTTAAAAAGCAAACTTCACTAATATTTAAAAAGTTGTCAGAGGCACCCTACGGTTTGGTTTTCTCATAGGTGTTTGAGTTTCTAGGTTAAGTAAGCACAGCATTACATTATCTAGTTTTAGCTAAACAGACCCTTAAAATGGATATGTGACCAAAAAAGATTCCAGAAAGAACTGTGAAGATAACACCAACGAAGCGAGAGTGTGAGAACAAGAAAATAACTGACTCTTCTCCAACTGCTATTAGGAGCGCCCGATCAGCCATGTTACAAGCAGGGATGGCCTAATCGTCCTGGACAAGAAGTTGGCTAAAGCATACCAAAATTATCAAGAAAGTGATTTGAAATCTGAATGCATACTCTTATTGTGAAAGCTGAACTTTCTTGTAGCTGTATAACATAACCTTTAGGTATCAGCAAATTATTTTAAAAATGTATGTTTTGTGTTTGTCTTACTTTAAAATCTCTACTTGTGGTAGAGATTTTATTATGCCTATAATATGTTAATACAGTAGTACACACGCTTTGTAAATAAATACTGCATTTGGGTGGGTGCTTAATATTTTTTATTTATGGGGTCAGAGATCTCTAAACTTTGGAAACTGATATCTTTGCTGCCCCTTCTTTCCTTCTAGTGAGGATGACAGTGGACGTACCTTCATCTGGAGCAGGCAGGTGGGGACGGCCATGCGGCTGATGCTGTCTGAGGCAGTTTTGATGTCCACTCTCCAGTCCAGGTCGACCAGGCGTGGCAGAGAGACTGTAGAAGGGACAGCTCAGCTCAGAGCTCACGCCTCCCACATTTATCTAGCCTTTACGCTGTGGCAGGCAGCTCTAAGGGATATACATATGTAATACATTTGATCCACACAGCAAGTCTCTGAGGGAGACAGACAGACGGGGTCCAAGACCCCTAGCAAGTCATGCCGTGTGCACTCCATGACACGTGCGCTTAGTAATGACTCATGGTGGGCAGCATCTCCAGGCTTCTGCTTTAACTCCCAACCCTCCAGATGTCAGGAGGAATGAAAAATGACACAAGGCAGAAAACATGAGGTTATGGCCTAAGTCTTAGAAAATGTGAAGCTTCAGCAATAGTGGAAAGAGCTTGTGGTTGAGACAGACTTGCCTTAAAGATGGGTTCTATCACTTGTCTAACCTTTGAGCCCGTTTCCTCATCTCTAAAATGGAGACAATCTTGGCCGAGCTCCCAGGGTTGTTGGGAGGACTAAATGAATCAATGCAGGTAGAATTCTTTGACAGTGACTGGCTCAGAGTAAGTTTTGTGACCATTTATTAAACATCCACTTTTATTCAATCTTTCAAACTAATTTCAATTATGTTTTTTTCCCTAATGGAAATATTTTAAGTATTTCACTTTCTGGTTTGAATATGTTTATTTTTTTTCTAACAACATGCGTATATTATATTACATTTATAACCAGAAAAGGGTTTTGAAGGTAGAATTTAAAAAAAAAAAACAACAATACACACAATTTGGTTTGGGATTAGGTTAATTCATTTTTGATTTTTGCTTAAAAACTCTGGCCACCTGGCAGATTTAGAGCTGGAGCTGGGAAGAAGAGGTCAAGAGGAAAAGGCAGATTTCCTGGTACTCACTCAGATTTGCCTGGGCTTCAGTTCTCCAAGTAGATCTGTTTAGGAGGGAAAGATGAGAAAAAAATCATGGAAAAGGGATGAGAATTGAGTCTTCTGATAGAGAGAGGCCCATGGGTTTGGGCCTCCGCCTCTCTGTGATCTCCAACCCTGTAATCACCTCCTGAAAGGATCACAGAAACGCCTTGCTCCAATGAGCAGCTTTTTGTTCGTTTGGTAAAGATCAGTGATGTTAAGGGCATAAGTGTTGTTAGCTTTCACAGCTTAGGTAAAAAAAAGAACAGGCTTAATGCATTGTAACCATATTGTGCTACCATTTTCAAAGACAAAACAAAGAAAAGGTCAAGCTACTCTTTTCAATGAGCATTTACTACACAACGCATTGCATCTTATGCAAAACACACCCAAACAGGCCAAAATAGTTGGTGCAATCTGATGGCCAACTTGATAAAATAAAGGTAAAGCCTCGTCTTTAATCCAGTAAGGAAACAATTAAGTATACGAGCAAAGTTTCCATGATAAATCGTTCACTGAAATAAAAATTGCCAATGGCCTAAATGTCCAACACTTGGAAATCTCTTAATTAAATTATACAGAATTTCCTCCTATAATGAAAAATGTTTAGCCATTAAAAATGATATTGAAGGTAAATATTTACTGGCATAATATATCATTAATGTTAATACTGTCAAGAGAAAACAAGGAAGTTGTAAAATGGCATGATCCCGTTGTGTTAAAAACAAAACACCAACCTCTATGTGTGTAAATGAAAAAAATAAACAAGTCCCGAAAGGCTCTCCATGAAGGAACAAATACTGCTAATCCTCTGGGTGATAGGATTATGGTTTTCTTTTTGTTTGCTTTTCAAGAATGAACATATTATTTCTAAAACAGAAACAAAAAATATAAGCATTATAAGGAACTCTCAAGAGATGAGCACTTACATGTGTTCTAGGATGATTTTTGTCAACAGGTTTTTGAGGTTTTGGTGGAAATTTTCAGGAAAGAGAGCTAGAATCGCCTCAGCGGAGGACAGGTCACGGAACGCTGCTAGCCTGGTAAGGCGGTGCAGAGCCTGGAGCAGCTGCAAGAAAGATGGGGACAAGGGCGGTGAGGAGAAGCAAGCAGGAGACAGAGGACAGAGAGCAAGGCTCTATGCCCCTGTCTGCCATACACTGCCAGAGTCATTCAACTGAGTCCCATGAGTCCTGAGGCCTCTGTCACAGATACTGATGCCCATGTGCCTCGGCCGACCTCTAAATTCACCTACTGCTTTAGGGGACAGATGCAGCTGCCTGACACAGGAAGTTGGCAACTTGCCAGACACTTTGCTTACAGGTAAAGAGTTAATAAATCCCCTTTCCTTCTGCACAGAAGCTGACCTTCAGTTAACTTTCTAGCCTGTTCCCCTGGTAACCTGAGAGAAGTAGAAAGTCAGTTGTAACTAGGCAACACTGCACTGGTCCACTGCCTCTGGACTGGGAGGACTGCAGAGACACCCGGGGGGCCCTCAGCTTTGAGCCCCTCTGAGTATAGCTGCATGCTCCTTGCCAGAACCTGAAACTGTGCTTACTGCACTGCTCCCAGAGCTACTGGCTCCTGTGGGTTTTGAGTGTTGAATCCAAAGTGGTAGAAATGTCATGACCCTGCCCCTAGGCTGTCACCTGGGAGGACAAAGAATGAACAGCTCCAGACTGGCTGTTTAGAACCCCCGCTGTGGAAGAGCAGTGCCTGACTGTAGCCCTGATAGGAGCTGTGTTCCACTCTGCATCCTTCCAAGTGAAATGTGCAGCCAAGTGTGGCTACGGTTGTCTTGTAAACATAACAATGCTCAGCTGAACTTAAGACACTCCCAAGGCAACTGTCTCTGCTTTAGGCTTTCTCTGACGCCATCTGAGGCTGCTCAGCTGCAGACAGGTACAACTCAGAGATGAGGGCATGTTAATCCTCCACCAAGAGGTGCAAGTCAGTGGATAAATGCCCTAACCTCTCTGCCCTCCAGGGGAAAATTCTGGGGTGTGTTCCACATGGTTTTTTACAGGATCCCAAGACTGAGCCCCAGTTGCCCACAGCAGTAACTGCTCATTGACACACCCTTTTATCAGCCTGGCGTTCTTCCCCGTTTGATTTTCTCCACTCACCCCTTTGTATTTTCTAGAATCACCTCCCAAGTAACTGCCTGCACCCAACTCTTTGCCTCAGGGTCTACTTTTGGGGACCTCAAAATAAGTCTCCAACTCACTTTCATTATCTTACTTCTGCCTTTTACTCTTCTACAGCTGACTTTAATGAACAAAGTTCCAGATTAATAATAATAATAATAATAATAATAATAATAATAATAATAATAGCAGCAGCAAAAGCAGCAGGATAAGCCAGTTTGGATGAAATCCTGTTTTAGAAACATTAGCCCTGGGAACGTAAGGCTATGAGTGCTACATAACTTGAGTCACTTTACTCTTCCTTTAGGCCATTAGCTGAGATCAGGTGAAGTCCAGAGGCACATCCTCCCTGACATGTGGGCCTTGGAGCTTCTGTCCAGTGATCCCTCAAAAGTCTGACAATTTATCAGCATCAGCAAGTTACAGGCTGGGAAAGGAAATCATGAAAAGGATGGCTTTTGGTCACACTGTCTAGGTAACAAGTCTGAAAAGGAAATGGTCAGGAGCTCTGATTCTCAGTACAGTTCTCCCATCTGTGCCACATTTACCACAGGAAGTGAAGGTTCAAAGATAACAGTTTTTAACTTCACTAACATTTTTAAAAAATCTATATTAAGTTTGCTACATCAATAGATATTTCAGGACAAACATTTCCTTGGACATAGCAATGATTGGGAGGTCAAGAAAGAGACTAACGAGTTGACAATTCAGTAGCCAAAGGCCACACTTACTTGCTCTGCCTCCTCCTGGGTCACAGACAAGCTGGAACACGTAATATCCAAGAGTTTTTTCGAGCCAAGGGCTGAAGTGGAAAAGCTCTCTTGGCATAGCTGTCTGACAACATCTTTTGAGGAGGCCTGTAAATTAATTCACAGATGGAAAACAAAAAACAAAAAAACAAACAGACACTAAAAAATACGTGTTTTAGAACATAATATTATCTCAGTAGTGGTGTAACACCTTTAGACTCAAGATTTAAAACACACTTCCATTTCTGGAAAAATGAAGTATAACTGTTAGGCATAACTAGCATCCGTGGGCACTAGATAGAAAACAACCCTAAGACAACTCTGGGAAGGGGGAGAAGACAGACTGCGGACCTTACCACCAAGGAATGCCATGGTGGTGAGTTCCCTGGGTTTTCTTTTTGTTGATATATACAGACTTTGAGCTGAAAGAGTGGGAAACCCAGAATTCCTATGGGTGCAGAAAGAAAAAAGCTCCAACAAATACCTGCTCTCCCCAGCCAAAGGACTAAGAAAGGGGCAGCCTAGCAAAACAGAGAACCTTAGACAGTAACTGTTCTACTCCAGCCAAATGCCACAGAAAGAACTATGGTCCCATCCTCACTCATGCCAGCAAAGGCTGAGTGGGGAGCCTAGACTTCCACCCCTGTGAGGCTATAACAAGGTGTTTCAACACCCCTGCTGAAGTGGTGTCAGAGAAGGCCAAGTATGGAGCTGAGACCAAGTAGGGAGCTGAGAGCAAGCAGGAAACTCCATGCCAGGGAGTAACAAGTGGTAGTAGAGGCTAATTGTGAAAAGAAAAAAAAATCTTCAAGAAAAAAAATATTTCAAGAAAAATGTCTTGAAAGCAGGAGAGAAACGATAATCTTATCCATAAGGGAAAAACAATTAGAATGACAGCAAATTTCACATCGGAAACCACGGAGGCAAAAAGGAAGCGGCATGATATTTTTCAGGTGCTAAAAGGAAAGAACTGTCAAACTGGAATCCTACACACAACAAAAGTATCCTTCAGGAATGAAGAGGAAATCAAGACATTCTTAGATAAAAATTAAGAAAATCTGTCACAAGACCTACCTTAAAAGAATAGCTAAAAGAAGTTCTCTTAACAAAAAGGAAACAAATTAAAAATCTTGGCATATCAAGAAGAAAGAACATGAGAAGCAAAAATATGGGTAAATACAATAGGCTTTCTATCTCTTGAGTTTCTAAATTCTATTTGAAAGTTGCAGAAAAAATTATATCACTGTCTGATATGGCTCTAAATCTATGTAGGGGAAATATTTTAGACAATTATATTATAAATGAGGGAAGGTAAAGGGACATAAAGGGAGGTAAAACTTCTGTACTTTAACTGGTAAATGAGAGAGACTGATAGACTGTGACAAGCTATGTATATCAATGGAATAACTAGAGCAATCACTAAAAAGTTTATTAAAAGCAATGCATTTTAAAAGACTATGGATAAATCAAAATAGAATTCTAAAAAAAAAATGTTCAAATAACCCGCAGGAAAAGTAAAAAGAAACAAACAAAAAAGAGAACTGACAGAAAATAAAAAATAAAATGGCACACTTAAGCCCTAACACATCAATAATTATATTAGTTGTAAATGGCCTAAATACATCAATTAAAAGACAGAAATTGGCAGAGTGGATTAAAAAATATGACTCATTCAAATGCTGTCTACAAGAAGCCCCCTTCAAATATAATAATAGAGATAGGTTAAAAGTAAAAGGATGGAACAGAATATATCGTGCAAACAATAATCAAGGGAAAACAAGAGTGGTTACATTAATATCAGATAAAGACTATTCCACAGCAAAGAAAATTACCAGAGATGGACATTACATAATGAACTGTTGCTACATAATGGCAAGCAAAAGAACTCAGACGCACAAAAAATAGCAGTCTTATTCCACTTACGTGAAGTTCAAACATGGGCAATACTAAATTGATGGTGTTAGAAGTAAGGATAGTGGTTACCATTAGGTAGGAGAGTGGGGTAAGTAATAGAGCAATAGACGGACTTCTGGGGTACCTGCAATGTTTTGTTTTTTGACTACTGTGGTGGCTGCATGGTGTGTAATGAATCATTAACTATGCACTTATGATTTGTGCATTTTTGTATGTGTTATCAATTAACAATTTAAAAAGTCCATACCACGAATAGACGTGCCGGGTAAATGGGTAACAGGAGCCACAATGAGGGTGAAAAGTCACTAGGCTGGGAGCTGAGAGCTCTAGGTTAAGTCCCAGCTTTAGTACTTCATTCATTAAGTCATCTAACAGCTATTTATTAAGCACATGCTGTGTGCCAGGTATGGGGGGTACACTTCTTGGGGATACATTTGTGTATAACATAGATGCCTTTAGGGATGGAGAATACGAGTGAACACTGGAGAGGTGGTTAAAACAACAGAGGGATCATGCATGCATGGACCAACGATGAATGTCGCGCCATGAATGATAAAGTGTGCCATACACAACTGCTGAGTGTAATTAACTCAATCCTCTTCCTCTGGTGTTAAAAAAAAAAAATTCCTTATGGATCTTACATTCTTGAAAAAGAAAGACAGGTAAATAGACGCATAATGTTAGCCAGTAACAAGTTCCACGAAGGAAGCTAAAGCCGCCCCTTCTACAGGGGAAGTCAGAAATTAAGCAGATAATTCCAATCCATCGTTTCATTTGATCCTTACAAAACCCTATGAAGTACGTCCCTTTCAACCTCACAATCTTTCAAATGATTATCAGGAGTGTTTTCGCCCTTCAATAGGTCAAATCAAGTACAGAAACCCGGGACTCGGGAGAACAAAGCACGAACACTTTACTCAGGAGGCTTGGCGCACGAAGAGGAGATAATTTCTCAAACTACCGAGGGCTGAGCGGCTGCTGGATGAAATCGGAACTGGCCACGAGGACCTAGCAATTACCACCCCAATGCACCGATCCCGAAAGATAGCCGCAGAGACTATTAGCAAGAGGCATTCGTACAGCGCCTTCACGACCATTATCTTATTTGTTTCCCCGCCATTCTGTTAGGGCACGGTGGTATTAATTTTGTTCCTGCTTTAAAAAACTCAGAAAGGCGAATGATTTGCCTGGGGCCACACGGAAAGACAGCGGCAGATTCGTGGCTCCAAATCAAGGTCCGTTTATTCCAATTCCTGTTCCGTCTAAAATGTTGGGGACAAAGTCCCGGCTCACGCCGTCTCCGCCCTCCCAATTTACCTTCAGCAAGCTCTGGAGTGCTGCAAAGTTTTCTGCTGTTAACGCAGCCATCTTCCCCGGGTCATGTGACCGCCACACTGAGTGAAGCGCGGTCACGTGGCCACGACGGCTGCCGCAAGGCATGCAGGGGGACGTAGTCCTTCTGGGTAGCGGGAGCTGCCCGTCTTGTGGCATGGCGGGATGCGGGGAGGAGCCAAGTAGGGCGAGAAGGCTGGATGGCTCAGCCAGGCGACACTCAGGCGGTGGGATTGGGAGGACACGAGCGAGGGATGGTTTTCATGGAGAGGAAATGACTTACCTTGTTTACTTACCAGATCAGGGGAAACTGATTTTCCCTTGACCCAGTTGGATGGGCTGCCTGATTTAAGGAATGCGCCTGCTTTGACAGACGCCTTGGAATTAAAATGAGGCTGTGCATATCGGAATTCTTGGAATTTATTCCCTCCACCCCAACTGGCAGGATGTAAAATTGCTTTCACGTGTATAGTTTCCCTCCGTATGAGGTAGGTAGGAGCTTGTATTATTTGCCTTATCCAGATGGGGAAAGTGAATCACTTAGGGTTTTTAGTGACTTTTTCTGTAGTCCTAGAGGAGATCTCTTCTGAAAGGCAGGCGAGGAAATGTCTGGCAGAGAAGGGTAGGGAGAGATTAAATGAAAGATATTACCTACTAGGTTCCTATTACACCTATTGCGGAAGTGGTTCGTGGAAATGTTTAATTCATTTATTCAACAAAGTAGTTATAGCGAATGTGAGGAGTGGTTTTGAAGGGGCAGTACAGGACTCTGATTTGCCCAGGGCTCAGAGGTGCCACCTCGAAACAGACTGAATTTGTGGAGTTGGTGAATTTAGTTTTTACAGAACCACATGTCTCTTCTGCATCCCAACCCACAGCCTCTGGCATTTTCCTTATCCATCTTTAGTATCTGGTTGGCTCTTTCTTTTCCCACCCCCACTTTCTTAGCAAAATTTGGCTCAAAACAGATTCTGATAATGTCAAGCCAAAGAAAGAATGTCTAATTGTGAAATTCCAGAAATTGGTAAGCTGCTAAGGCCATTTGTTCCTCTGCCATCTATTCTTCCCCTTCCTCCTTCTCTCTCTCCTGTTTTCTGTGAGGGTGTTGTCCAGGCTCAGGAAAATAAACCCAGGTTGTCTGAGGATGAACCCATACCTGGACTAGAAGATTTTAGGACATTGTCACGGAGTCCTAAGTCCACCTCTCTTTCTTCTCTCCTTCTACTCTTCTCCAGGGATCCACATGGCTTGATTCTTGTTTTCTGCCACAAGCCACTGTAAACTCTAGGTTTAATTCCTCCCTGTATTCATAGATAGGGGCCAGCCCTGTACGTCTAGTGAATTGAATGTTGGTTAAATAAAGAGCAACATCCAAAAAATGGTGAGGCTAAGGCTAATTTCTGTGACATATATGTATGTATGTATGTATGTATGTATGTATGTATGTATGTATGTATTTTTTGCAGGGACACTGTTTTATTATTTATAAGACTGTGCCTTCTTGTCTTACTTTAGAAAGATAGGCAGTGTGGTCACCAGCCTTCAAGATGGCCCCCAATGATCCCTGCCTTGTGGTATTCACACTCACATTGTTCTAGGATTGTTCTGTGTGACCAATCGCAGATGACAGAAGTGATGGTATGTTGCTACTGAGATTAGTTATAAAAGACTGCAGCTCCTGGTTCTCTCTAGTTTGCCTGCTCTCTTTCTCTTAAATCTCTTGCTCTGGGGAAGGCAAGCTGCCATGTTGCTTTCTTGGAGAGGTCCATGTGGTGAAGAACTGAAGCCACCAGCCAAAAGCCAGCAAGAAACTAAGGCCTGCAACAACCGACCTCATTACTGAGTTTAGAAGCAGATTCTCCAGCCCTGGTAGAGCCTTGAGATGACAGTAGCCTTGACCAACATCTTGACTACAACTTCCTGCAAGACTCTGAGCCAGAACCACCTAGCTAAGCCACTGGATTTCTGGCCTTCAAAAACGATATGATTATAAATGTTTGCTGTTTTAAGCTACTAAGTTTTGAGGTAAGTTTTTTACATAGCAATAATAACGAATACATGGAGACAATAAAGCTGAGGGACTTCAGAATTCAACCTAAACTCGAATCCCAACTCTACACATTATTAACCATACCTCAAACAAATTCTTGAACTTCTCCGATCCTGTTTGCACATCTGCAAAATTATGTAGATCACACTTGCCACAGAGAGCAGGGCTGAGTGGTAGGTATTGTCCCAGTGGGAGGATATTAACTCTCCTTGCCTTCGTGGGTAGGTATAATTTGAGGGGATCCCCTGGGCTCCAGTCTGCCAGGCAGGGCCTTGAGCCTGAACTATGTTATCCCATTTTGGTAGGGCTCACCCAGGTTGGCACTACGTGTTGCTTTTAAAGGTTTGCTTATGGTCAGGGGAGCTTCCAGCAATTCCTAAACCATAAGCATTTTCATGAAAAGGAACAGAACAGAATGTTAGAGTTCATTTCCATGATTTGGTCCTACTGCCTGTTTCTCTTAGGCTTAATCTGATTTCTTTTCAATTTTGGGTATGTGAATCTGTGCTTTCTTTCTTTTATTGAATAAATTTGCTACTTGCCAGCCTCTTACACACTTACTGATTTATTTACTTCTTATAACAATCCTATGTGATACACACACGCACATAAACACACAGAGTAATTTTCCCATTTTACATATGGAGAAACTGAGTCACAGAGGAGTTAAGTAACTTGCCCAAGGCCATACAGCTAAATAGTAGCAGAGCCCATATTCTAACGTGAACAGTCTGACTCCACAATCTGTGCTGGTGACTACCAAGCTGTATACGCCTTCTTGTCTTCCCATAGCTGAGAACTCATGTTTCTTCTCTCTGGATATCTGACTACCTTCCTCAAGGGGGCAAGAACAATTTAAGGGTGTTCCTGGACAATCAACTCAGTGTATGCTGAGAGATAATATGATGAGTAGAAGGGATACCTTGTACTTTGGAAAAGGATCCAGGTTCAATTCCTGGCTCCTATGTACTCTGGCAAGTTACTTCATGCCTTTGAACCTCAGTTTCTCATCTGTAAAATGGGAGCAACAATAATTAAAATATCTTTTGACCATTAGGAGGACCTCGAGGAAGACTTATACCCAAAAGGAGGAAAGATTACTACCTGGCAACTCCATTCTAGCCACTGGCAGCAGCACTAAAGCTCAGAGCTTTTCCGTGCTATGGGAAAGGGTTTGCACAAGGGAGACCAACCATCTCAGTCTGACAAGGAATGAGGGATTTCCTGAGACGTGAGACTTTCAGCCCTGACACTGGGACAGCCCCAGGCAAACCAGGTCAGTAGGTCACACTTATTTGAACCCTGAGCCTTTGAGGAAAGGCATCCTTGTCTTCTCCAATGGGGTTGTCTTCTCCAGTAGGGTTGACGTGAACAGAGGGACATGGATGCAGAAATTTTTAATAGAAAGAGATTAAGGGCAGCAATCTTAGTGTTGGGGGTCTTTTTGGTAATAGGTTTATTGAGATGTAATTCACATATACAATTTACTCACTTAAAATGTACAATGCAGTAGATTTTAGTACATTCACAGAGTTGTGTAACCATCACCACAGTCCATTTTAGAACATATTTACCACTCCCAAAGAAACACTATTCCTTTTAGCTATCACCCCCCACATTCCTCTCCATCACACCCCAGCCCTAGGCAACCACTAATCTTTCTGCCTCTATAGATTTGTCTAATCTGGACATTTCACATAAATGGAATAATGCGATATGTGGTTTTTTTTATTGGTTTATCTCACTTAGGCTAATTTTTTCGAGGTCCATCCATGTTGGAGCATGTATCAGTACTTTATTGCTTTTGATTTCTAAATAATTTCCATGTATGGACAGACCGTATTTTGTTTATCTATTCATCTGTTGATGGATATTTGGGTTGTTCCCACCCTCTGGCTGTCATGACTAATGCTGTTGTGAAAACTCTAGAGGAAGTTTTTGTATGGATTTAAGCTTTCATTTCTCTTAGAGTGTATACCCAGGAGTGAAATTGTCAGGTCATGTGATAACTCTGTGTTTAACTTTTTGAGCAAGTGCCAGACTGTTTCCCAAAGTGGTTGCACCATTTTACATTCCCATTAGCAGTGTATGAGGATTCTAATTTCTTCACATCCTCACCAAGACTTGTTATTATGTCTTTTTGATTACAGCCATCTTAGGGATGTAAAGTGGTGTCTCATTATGAGCAATCTTGTTTTGGGGTTGCATTTGCATAGCAAGCCCATTTCGTCACTTAGACTGCTTAGGTTCATTTGAAGTGACTGGTGAAGATTATGGGCCTTAAGTCTCCGATCTGCCCATTAGTCCCACCATTAAGGCCTGGCTGCCTTTATCAGAGGAACACCTGTAGGAGGTAGATTAGGCTATGAGGCCTGTGGTCCTTTAGGGAGAGCCTCCCTCATTTCCCTGACTTCCTTTTTCCTCACCCCATTTCATGGACTGAGATGAGGGATGATGTCGGGGGAAAAGGGGCTGCTCTGTCTCTGTGGTCTTATGCTACCTGCTCTAACAAGGAGTGGCTTTGAAGTAACCCGATCAGCTCACCAGTAGACATGGACTACAAATTGGGAACAGAAGAACTGTCAATGACAGTCACTCACTGGCTTATAAATGTCATCTGTGTCCAGGTCAGGCCTCACGAGCAGTGTGATTTGGGGCTAACTCTGTACTAACAATGTCTTAGTTAGCATGGTGTTTAATAATGAAAAGATCTGACATAAAAATTCAAATGTCTGGCTTTTCTTGAAAAATTAACAGGCCTAGTCATGCTGTTTTCATCTTTCCACCTCGTGGCAGTTGGCTAGAACTAGCCTGGGCTCTTCATGTCCCCACTGTCCCCACTACTCTCTATTGTGTCACAGTCGACCTTCTCCATACATTTGTCACCTGCCTTATCCCTGAGAGTATTTGTTAGTGCCAACTTCCCTCAGACCTGATGGGGTAAACTTAGACCATAGTGGGCAGCAAGGCTGAATTTGACTATTTGGAATCCTGGGTTTTCAGCTGTCTCCATGCCATCTCCTCATGAGTCTAACTAAGTGAGTTGTACGGGTGATG